AATGATGCTCCTGTCTGAGGATGTTCTTTCTCCTGCAGGAGGCACAAAGGAGGATGCTCTATCTGCACTGTCTGTAGATTGTCCCACCCCAGAACTGCCAACCACAGCCAAAGTAACAGCCTCCATCTGAAACTTGCCATGCAGAGTGGCAATGCAAGCCAGTCCCTACACCAGGATGGAATTTTAGGCATTCAGATTTTCTCACTGCAGATACTCAAAATTAACTCTGATTTCAGCACAATGAGGGGAACTTCCTGAGTTTTCCAAGAGCACTCTGCCTTCTTGTACAGTGCTAGTGCCTTCAGTGAAATTAATCCATCACACTGCAATGAAACAACACTCCTGGGATTATTTCACCAGAAGTGAAGTGCTGTTTCCTTTAGTCTCTTCCAGAAACCAGAGGGCAAGAGAGGACATGCAGTCTGAATGGCTTTTCATTATAGCTTTGCTTTGGCAATTAGGTCAACACATCCTCTCACTAAATCTATGCTGTGATTTAAATCAGCATATTGCTCCTGTGACCAACTCCTTTGGGTTAAAATTATGATATAGATTACAAAAACAAATAGCTTATCAACAGGTCTACATTGAAAACAGCCAATTACTCATTTTATTTATGCTGTTCAACTTTTATTAACCACCAAAATACAGGGGTTCATTCACACAAAACTTGTTACTGAAAATGGCTGGATTCTGGTTTGGGAGATTATCCTTCCAAATTCAGAAGCACTGCAAATGAGATGAGATGTCCAGCCACCTTTTCTCTACAACTGCACACAGCTGGGGCTTCACAGATCCCATGGGGCTGCATCCCAGCCCAGCTCCTCTCTGGGATGAGAGAGGGGACTGTCTAGCCCCTCCTGTCCTCCTCATCAGAGCCAGGGAAGAGTCCTCATGGACCATGGTGGAGCTACAACACAGCAGTTCCAGCTCAGGTTAGACAAAGGGAGGTTGCAGGCTGGGACTCAAGCCATGAGGCAGCTTTGCCCCATGATCCTGCCACCTCCAGGCTGCCAGCAGGGACAAGCTCAGCTCCACAAATGCCACCCTGCACCATTGTTCCAGTTCTTCTCTGCAATTGCACAACCTGAGGGGCCTTATGAGATTTCCTTTCCTGAGTACCCAGAGTACTCTTCTGAAGCCAAGAGACAATTTTCCCAGAAACTCAGAGGCCACAGGCCCAAGTCTTTGCTGAATTCAAGCTGCCTGGAAACCCCTTCAACTGCAGCCCCCCCTTTCTTCCTCTCACAACCTGCCAGCTGCTCCTGCCATGGAGCACAGATTTGCAGCAGGAAAACAACTACATCTTGAAAAGATGCTGCCAAATCCCAACCGCACTAGGGACCGTATTACAGTTAAACCCAGACAAAGGCTGCCCCTGCTGCCTGCCCCAGCCCCCCACCTCCTGGCCATACCCAAACCTCCCCTGCATCAGTCAGAGAGGTTCCGTCCTGCCTCTTTCCCATCCACATCCCCACACAACCCCCTGTTCTGTGCTCAGGCAAAGGGGCTGTCGTCACCCTGTAGGGTAAAAGGCAACGATGACAAAGTTCACACCACATTTTTCTACTGACTCCTCAGCAACCAACATCCAATTTTATTCTGTTCCCTTCCTGTCTCATCTGCTTCCCCTTCAGCCCCAGGCCAAGCATTTAAAGCCAAGAGAGGCCTTTGGGATCTATCTGAAAATACACACCCTGCATCTCTCACTCCTGCGTTTGAGCCAGGCAGATGCTGAGTGACTGCAGCTCACCAAGACTGCTCAGGATGCTCTGCACCTGGAAAGGGATTTGGATGTGATCTTAGTGACAGAAAGAACATGAGCCTGGCCCTCCTTCACTTCCTGCAGAACTCATTGAAAAACAATTAGCAAGAACCAAGTGATCAAGTCCAGCAAAACCAAACAAGCAGAAACTCCTTTTTCAAACTTCCACATGGTAAAGGCAGTGAAGAGGGTGACATGAGCCAGAGCCCATGGTAGTTCCTCTCTCTTGGGGATTACCTTCCTTGGTGCCCAAGCCAGAGAAAACCACCAAGGCAAACAGACATGGTGGCTCTCCAAGGTCACAGAGAGCAGGTGGGCAGAGCTCAAGTCAGGGCTGGCTGTAACACCAGACACCAGGACAGATTTTTGTTGGCAAAGCTTTTGCAGAACAGATTGCACCAATTCTACATTGTTTTTCTGCAGCTGTCTCATGCTCTGAGGGCTGTTAAAATCATTGTTGTGCTCTCTTTGAAAATTTCAGGGGTGCTAAAAACTGGAAATCAGCCCAGACACACTGATGCACTGCAAAGGCTGCCTTGGCAAACAGTGAGAGCTCAGGTGCAGGACACTGCTGCCCTCCCTGGCTGCTGCACAGCCCCAGGACACCCCTCTGGATGTTGTAAAGATAATATTCCACATCTGTATGAAAAACCAGGAAAAAGAGGCCCCCCAGGAGCTCCAGTATCAGCCCAGAGGTTCTCTGCAGACCTTACCAGAATCTCTAGACAGTTTCTGCAGATGCTCTGTGCAAACCCAGGCTCTGCAGAACAGCAGCAAGAGCACTTTTGGATTCTTCACGGCATTATGGAAAAATCCATGTGTGTCACCAGATTAATGCACAAGCCTATAAATCAGAGTATGGCAGGGTTCCCAGAAGGCCAGGCCATCACCTCACAGCAACACAGCTTGCATGCAAGGTGAGAATTATGTTCTGCTTTGCTGATCTGAAACCAGAGCCACTGTCTAGCACTATGTGGCACAGCCTGTGGCAGGTGTCTGCTGCCTCTGCAGGGAACCCTGGAGCTCCAGCATCCTGCAAGCTGCTGTCACTTCTTCCAGAGGGTTGTGTGGCTTCCCAATTTTTTAGCACTTCTGTCCTAGTATAGCTCCACGGATAACATCTACCCTGGAAACACTTGACAACACTGCAACGGGTGTAGGAATCAAGTGAATGGAGTCCCCTTCCACCCCAGCACTGCACCACAGCAGGGTTTGCTCCAACACTGGGGTGCCAGTGCAGCTCAATCAGGTGTGCAGCAGGCAGGCATAAGTCACCACAGGCATTTGCCACATACATGGTACATCTTTGCAACTGTCATGTGGACTCTGGTCCTGCTCTTTCATAAGAGGAATTTGTTTGTATAAACGTTTCTTGGGAAGTCTCCCTGGATACAGCAAGAACACTAATACTCTCCCTAATAATTTTCTCTATCACAAAATCATGAGCTAGTCCATACATTGATTTGCTTTAAGTGATTTACAAAACTTCTCATTAAAAAAAAAATACAGAATTATGTTCTTTTATATGTCTCTTGGAATTGAGCCTTCAGTAGGGGGAATAAAAGGATGAAGCATCAGATTTTTAAGCTTTTATATGCCAAAAAACCTCCTCTGTTTTCCTCACAAAGCAGGGGAAGGGCCTGCAGCACATCCAACCCCAGCAAATAAAGTGTTTGTTACCGTGCAGGTAGAAATGATGAAGCCAAAAGTTTAACGTTGTATCAGGCATTACCTGCCTGAAGGAAACGCAGTTAGGAAGACAGAACAAGCAGGACTGGATAGTGGAGATGCCTCCACAGACTTATTTTAGATTTAGGTTAGCTCCTTGTTGTAACCTCAGAGGTATTGCAATGGCTTTGTACAGAACACAGGCTGCTCTGTAGCACTGCAAGAATTCCCTGCTCCACTCCCCCCTCACGCTGGTGAAAGAAGGGAGGATATAGCATCAAGGGTACACCCAAACCAAGGGAGCTCATTTATCATGACTACTGAATAATGCATGTCTTCAGAAAAAAAATAAATCTCTGCTGCTGCACAGAGACATCATCATCAAGCAGTGACAGACAGACGTGGCACAGCAGCAGGCTTCAGACAGGGAGGACGAGACAGGTGACAAGGCTGCTCCTTACCTTAACCCGTAAGGGTGGTGGGCTGTGGAAGCTGCTGCCAGGCAGGAACCACACTGCTTCCAGATGGATTTCACATGCTGGAGAAGCCTGTCTTTTTTCATCCAGGGCATTATGGACTGGCTGCATTTGTGCTGTACAAACAGCCTCAACGAGCCTTCCAGGAGCAGTTACATCCTCCAACACACATGGCTTTAATTGGGAAGTCTATTTTTTTTAATTTTCATTCCAGTCACATGTTTTGAACTGTTACTTTTCCCTCCTCTGTGTGTGCATATAGCCAGATATATTTTTATGTCTCCTGCCTGTGTGCCACATTAGCCTCAGGCAACCAGCTCTGGGAGGGAGCGTCAGCCTTGAGAAATGACTCAGTCCTCATTGAGAGCCAGGTCTGCACAGCAGCTCTTTCCTTTCCTCCCTTCCTAAGGTTGCTGGTAGCACAGCTACCCTGGCCCTGGCCAGGGGACCTCTGCCCTCTGCACATGGACTTGGAGCTTCACCACGCACAGCTGGAGTCTGACCTTGCTTCAGCAAACCTGAAAGGACTCCTAAAACGCCAGGAATCAGACCCAGAAACAGAGACATTTCCCCCACAGCAGAAAGTGTTTATGTTCAGGGGATGGGATGCAGGGGCAGGTCACACAACAGTTCTCTGCTCATTCCCCATCCTTGTGTCACTGCATGTTTGGCTTTAAAACAAAGACAGGGAGAATCCTGGCTGCTGGGGCCAGGACCTGCCCAGCCAGAGATCACAGACCTGCTCACCACTGAGCCCACATACTCCTCAGCCCTGCAGCAGGATGAGGCAGCAGCACGCAGCCCTGGCACTCCTTCCTGCAGATACAGACCCAGCAAGACACCTCTGCTTGATGCCAGCGTCTCAGACACCTCTGCAGCTTTCACAGGCTTTTTCCCCTGCTGATGTCTCACACAACTCTGCAAAACGCTTGCTCGATGCCATGACAGATGACAACTTTCTGCCAAAAACAGATGCCAAAGAATGGCTTTATTGAAGGAAACGTACAATTTGCAGAGTGGGTTTTTATTTTCTCCCAAAACAGCAGAGGAAAAAGTGGCTATTTTCAACCATTTCATTGTTAACCCCTTAGACACCTGAACACGGTGCTGAAGCTCCCCGTGGTGTTTGCTGGCACACTCCTGCTATCTGCACTCCCCACTGTGCACATGGAAGGGATGAATACAGGTAACACGACAGCCTCCCTTGATTTCACACAGGAAAGCACCAAACCACAGACTTCAATCAACAACTAGTTCATGCTTGGAGTTTCCTGGATTACAGCCTTGATGGAAACAACTGGTACAAGAGCTGGCCAAGAGCTGCAGCCTTAAAATTCTGGGCACATCACAGTGAACTCATCTGGTTTATTATTTAGGTCCATGCAGGAGCTCAGACACTCAGCTGAACTGGGAGGCCAGGAAATACCTTGAGGCACAATTGGAGTCTCACAATTCCAGGACATTCATCTACATCTACGTAAGTCCCTTTCCAGTCACCACGAGATGTTGGCCCATGGGTTTCACCAGCAAGCTACTCCTTGCTGAAATCAGAAGGGCATATTTGTCAGAGAGGAGGGAGTAACAAACCTTGCTTATAACGCTAGGTATCTCCTAGTCACTGGTGGTTTATAATCCTGCCTTCATGCTGCAGAAAGCCTGGCCAGTAGTAGATCTGATGGCCTCCATGTTTTGCAGCAAGATACAATCCCCAATGGCATTTTCTCAATACAGATCTCTGCAGACAGCTGCTAAAAAAAGGGGCTGGTTTCTGTGATATTAGCTGTGATAGGATAATGTTACAAAAGCATAACTGGAGTACAGTAATAACAGGACCCTCCTTAAAGCACTGGCAGCCACTACCAATCCCAAAAGCTTCCTGCTCCACTGTGAGAATTGAGATGTGGTTCTCTCTCTCCACCTTTCACCATACCCCAAAGACAACCACCCCTCAAGGCAGGGCACCCAGGAACTCCACTGTCTTCTTTTGCTATTTAACTTGCAGGTGATTTTCTGACAGGGAACTTTTTTCTGTGTCCCTTTTTAAATTAACTGCTCTCTTCTCAAAGCCCGACAGACAAATAACTCTGTAGAGTCACAAGTGCCTGAGCACTAACAACTTGGGGCTGTTCTGCTTTCTTCAAGCCAGTACCTAGAGTTGGCCTCTTCATGGTGCCCAGACCCCACAGCCACCCAGGCTGCTTCTTTGCTTCCCCCAGAGCCTGTGGTTCACAGTGTTCCCACCACCTTTGTGAGGCACACCTTGTAAATGGGCAGAGCCTGGTGTTTAATTCACCAGCTGGTAACTTCCTTCTGAAAAACCTTCTGCTCTGTCCCATATTAAGCAGAACAGCAGAACCATTGTAATATTGTTCTGCACTGCCCTGCACGGTTCAGTAAAAGGCAAAGCCAAGGTCTCCCCTTCAATTGACAATTAACCCCACTGTGACACGGGTAAGGAAGCAGTGAAGGGAGGGAGTGGGAGGCAGGACATTCTGCTCCTCATTTTGCCACCTACATTCTCTTTCACCCTTACACCCATACAATTTCTCACCCTTGAAAACAGGAACAGTATTTCTCAGAAATAAAATACTGATGGCTACCAAGCACTCTGAAACCCTGGAGAAGATAGAACCCTACCAGGATCAGGCACAGCAGTGTGGGACACCAGGCAGTACCAGAGAAACCATGAATTACAGCAATGGATAAGTAGCACCCAGGAAAGGGGCTCAGAGGGGCAGTGCTTTGCTTTTGCACGTGCCACCTCCATCTGCTCCCTGGCAGCCAGAGCATGGGAGGGAAACAATCCCCAGGGCAGGAAAGGAGCCCTGTCACACAGGGCATGTTCAGAGCTGCTTCCCAGGAGCACCACACAGCCATTCCCTGCAGCTCAGGGGGCAACCTGCAGCTACCAACTGACAGCACAAAGCTTTAGCCATACATTTTTAAAAGCAGCTTCCAAGACAAAACATCTGTTCTCAGGTGGGGCCAGGGCTCAACGTAAAATCACTTTTGTGCTGAATTATGTTGTTAGTAAAACACTGGTGTTTTCCCTTGGTAAAATCAATTTCTTAATCTTTCTCATGCAGCACCTGGAGGAAAGATGCATTAGACCCCAACTCTCAAGAGACCAACTCTGGCTGCTCCAGAGTGCACCATGCAAAGGGTAACAGAAGAGCATAAGGGGAGACAAGACAATCCAGTATTCTTCATTCAAAATCCCTTCAGGTTTAGCAGCTGCACAGAGCTACTGACTCACAGCAGAAGATGAAGCTTCTTTAGATATATAATTTTTAATCTCAGAGTCAGAATGGAAAGGCCTGTGGTCCCAGTGCCTGTCATCCTGGGGCAAAAACCTCTTGCTGAAAGTATAGCATAAGACATAAGCTATTTATTTCTGCCCTGAAGGTAGGGATCAGATAGCAGCACTGCCTTCCAAGGAATTCATTCAGGCTTTGTGTTGCTAATCCAGTGTCCAGGGTCTTACAGAGGAGTCCTTTTTTCTTCCAGTGAAATAAGAAAATCAGATATCAACAAAATGTTTCAGCATGTGCTTGCTCCCCTTTCCTAGGTTCAATGGGACATGGATGAATCAGGCACTTGCTGGATCAGGCCATTAAACTGGTTTAGGTTTTAGCTGCCCATTCAGGCTCTCAGATCAACACCTCAGATTCAGTTCTAAAAAGAACCTGTATTTGCACCCCTCCTGGTGGGGGCAGAAGCCATGACTATTGCCCTTATCAGTCCTGCCATTTTATCTCAGGAGAAGTTAATTAAGTCAGTTAAGTACAGGGTTGTGCTGCAAACTGCTCATTTAACATTGCCCTTGAAGCTGCACTGTAATGATAAATTTTCACTTCCTTCCCTAGCAGTTACATAACCTTGCTGGGCATTGTTCAGTGAGTTGCTGTGCTCCCAGCCAAAGGCAGCTGCTGTCCCTTCCCCTTCTCACCAAGTCCTGGCAGGACTGTCACCTTTCTGGTTGTGGAGCTGGTTTTGGTTTTTTACACTCCATCAGCTTACTAACATAAAACAGAGAGTCATGGCTCTGAACACAAGCAGCCTTCCAACAAGATTACTCCTACTTTCTTAAGCTTTCAGTGGGGAAAAAAAATTATCCCATTTATACCAGTTAGATCTAAGCCACTTAGAAAGTCAGACCTGGCAAATAACATTTAATTAAAAGTATCTTTAGGGAGAGAGCAGCTCAGTCAATGTAAAGCTGTCCCACTAACAATATAAATAGCCCAGGCTAGAATTCAACAGCCTCACTTTGTGGTCAGGCTACACAGGCTGCATGCCCAGATGCAGGATGAATTTTTACTTCATGGCTTTTTGTTGGCATGTTGGGGTTTTTTTTGTAAGAGGGATGGGGCTTTTAATTCTGGAAGCTGGGCTGGCCGATCAAAGCAAAACACAGAGCAGGAAACTAGGTATACTTGAGCAGCAACTTTTAGAAAAAATTGCTCTTAAAGCAGAAAGCATTAAGAGTTAAATAAGATGCATCCCTCCACTTCAAGAAAATTGCTGCTGGTGGCTTTCTGCAGCATAAGACCTGAGAGAGTTCGAACCTGCTCTTCAAGCAAGGCTGAAGTCCCCAAGGATTTTCTGTGTCCCTAGGACTGTCCCAGCCAGGCCTCCAGCAACCTCCTGGTTATAGGAACCGTTCCCAGTGTGTCCCTTGTTGCCATGAGCTCTTTCAGATACTCTCTCAGGAGGGATGCATCTGGTGCCTAACACAGCAGCTAGCAAAAGGCACCTCAGTAGCAAGTCACAGAGCACAGGGTAGCACTAGCGCTTCACACACAACATCCCAGCTGGGAAGGGCCAAAGGCTGCCCAAGTTGCAAACCCAGCTCTTCATTCAGTTAGATCCTGGGGTGGCCAGAGTGTCACTATTACTCTTGAAGGGAACTGCCTTCAAGGGCTGCCCTCAGGCCACACACCAGTCACATAAGCTTATTTGACTTCAGCTGACATGGTAGCAAACACCGTGTAACCCACAAGACACATGGTCAGTGCACAAAGTTCTTTCTAGTCTCCTTGGCACAAATGCCTCACAGGATGCAAAGTATTTCAGGATAAAGAATCCAGAGGGACAGCTCTCACCCCAGCAGCCTGAGACACAACAAGCAGGTCTGGCTTAACTCAAGTCAGTGCAGTGCAAGTCAGCACAAGGAAACCACCCAGGGTATCATCTGAGCTCAATTTACACATTCACATACAAGTCAAATTAATGCCCTGAAAACAACAATTGTTTGTAGTGCAGCAGCACCTAGAGGACAGAAGGAAGATGAAGATCATGCAGTGCCAGGCGCTGCACAGGTGCCAGGCACATCCCTACCCACTTCACATCAGAGACTAAAGGGAGAAAGGAAACTTTAGGGCTTTTCTCCCCACATCTCACAGGTGAAGACTCAAAAAGGATGCCTAAGGTCCTGAGGAAACCTGCAACAAAACCAGACCCTGATTCCCAGGCCAAGAAGGCCTGATCAGCAATGGTCCCCTCTCCCTGCAGCACTGGAGGCTGAATGTTCTGCTTGGCTCTGCCTTGGAATGACCACATTGCTGATGAATGCTGAAACTACAAGTGAGTTGTTCAAAATGTCCCAAAGCAGATGTCAACAAAGCCAATACCACAGGCTAAGCTACCATATAATTTTTTTTGCTGAGCCACTTATTATTCAGCACAGCTATTTTAGAAAACTTTGTCCCATTTTTCATGTTTTTCACATCATTCTGTCTAATGGAGCCTGACTGACTAGGCCTGCAAAAGGAAAATTGTAAGCTTTTAGAAACCTCTAAACCAGCATTCTCAAATGTAACAATCAAGTAGTTTCAAGTTTAACCTGTGGAGTTAAGAGAGAAAAAAGGGCCAAGGCCAGCTTTCTGGCAGTGCAGAACACCACATTTTCTCTGGGATGCCAAATAGCCCCCAACTCACAAACCTGCCCACCCAGGACAGACCACCTTCGGTCACTGCACTCCCAATATTGTTGTTTTCAGCAGAAAAATACCTGGAGAGGACAGCTGTGGCAATTTGGAGCATCAGAAGAGGGAAACCAGGGAAATCTGCCAGGAAGTCAAATAGCAGGTACAACAGCCTGCAAGATCCAACAGGTTAAACATCAGATAAACATTGTATTTGCTACACAGGTCCTGTTTACATAACTGACCTCATCTGCACCAA